TTGCTTCCTCTTCTTGGCCATTTTGAATAGTGCTGCTATGAATGTGTGTATGTAAATATCTCTTTAAGATTTTGCTTTCATTTTTTAAATATATATCCAGAAGTGCTGAATCATATAGTATCCATTTTTAATTTCTAGGTGAACTGCCATATTGTTTTCCATAACAGTTGCACCATTTTTGATTCCCACCAATAGTGCACAAGTGTTATTATTTTGCCACATCCACATTATTTTGTGGGTTTTGTTTGGTTTGTTTTAGGGTTTAAATTTTACGCTATTTTAATGGGTGTGATGTTATCCTTATTGTGGTTTTGATTTGCAGTTCCATGATGATTAATGATGTTTAGCATCTTTTCAAATACTTGTAGGCTATTTATATACCATCTTTGGGGAAACATCAGTTCAAGTCCTTTTTCCCATTTTAAAACATCTATAGAAAGCTTCATAAATTTATGTGTCTTCTGCACATGGACTATGTTAATCTCTATATCTTTCTAATTTTAGAATATGTGCTACCAAAGCCAGCCCCAAAGTTGCTGATTCATTAATGAATTCATTCATTATTAATTCATTAATTCATTCATTATTGATTCATAATTATGAATTCATTCATTAATGAATTCATTCATTCATTAATGAATTTTCAGTGTTTCATTAATGCATCTTCCTCTTCTTGACAATTCCTTCACTGTCCACATACAGTCACCCAACACTTTCCCTCTAAAAAATATAGAAGAATATTTGTATATATTCATGAAACTTATTTTTCGCTTATGTTCAAGTCATCGGTCCTTTCTATTGTTTGATCATTGATAGTCTTTGGCTTTTGTTTTGTTTTGTACCTGTTCATGTCACTACGTTTGGGGAATTTTAAGATCTGGCTTAATGCTACCTACCACCTTAAACAGCCTGATAGATGTGGAGATGAGTAAGAAGCAGTATTTCAACCTTGCATTGAAAGGGTACATACATCTTGCTCCTTTTTTTTTTCCCATTTTAATCTTAAGTTCTTAATTTTCTCACCATTGATGTAAAAATCATTTATGCTTACACTGCAACCAACATAAATCATTAACACACAAAAGAATAGTAAACAGCCTTTAATCAATATTACTTTCTTCTATGAGACACAGTGGAAATGAAGGATACAGTTTATCCTCGATTGGAAGTTTCACAAACATTTAGCCTGGACCTCATCTCTTCACAGTAATTACTTTGCTCCAACCACACAGATCTCCTTTATGTTTTCAGGACGTATTAAGGTCCTTTCTTCCTCAAGAACTTTGCCCATCTTGTTCTTTTTCATCCCTCAAGTCTCAGCTTGTTGCCATCTCCTCAGAAAGTCGTTTCCTACACCTAACCCAAGGACACTGCCTTCTGACAGTCACTTTCTAATATTTCATCTGCCTAATTTTGTTCACGATGCGAATCATGTTATGAAACTATCTTACTTATTATTTACTTGCATGCTTTTTTTATTGTCAGCCATCCCTTGCCCATCCCCAAGTCAAATATATGTCCCATGACTGCAAAGGCCTGTTTCATTTGTTCACCTCTATATCCCCAGTGCCTGAAACAGTGCCTGGGCGATAGTTTGCTGACTGCTAGTGTAGGTCATGTGTTCTCAACTTTGGCATCAAAGCATACTTGGATGTTGATTCAAGTGCAAGTGTTCACTTAAAAAAATGTGTTAATTATAAAAAAGAGCCAAAGATAAAATTTGGTTTACTTTAAAATGTAGACATTATTAAAATAAAAGTAAGAGAAAATTCCGGATGTTCTCCATAGTACTATGACTCTCATTCACTCCAAAGCTTCCGTGAGAATAGAAATATTGGCATTAACAATAATAGGTATTAGTGGAAGTATATTTTTTATATCATCTTTAGTGCATAGCAGTGGTTCTCACACTTGACATGCATCAGAATCACTAGGAATTACTGGAATGCACCCACAGATTACTGATCCAGGAGGTCTAAGGTGTGCCTGAGAATTTCAGGCCTAGTTCCAGATCATGCTCTTGCTGGTGGTGTAGAGACTGAAGAAGTAAAGAGAAAAGTCTACCAACAGAGGTGCACATTAAGATGCAATGAGGTGAGGGGGTAGAAGTGAGAAACAAAGGACTATATGTGGTGTGGTCTATGGAAATGGTAAGTAGAACACAAAGGAGAAGGAATTATCCATAATTATAGCATAAGTAGAAATTAAAGACCAATGAAGTATACAGATAAGGAAAAACAGGAGTCGTATCTGAGGAAACTTGGTGAGTGATAAATTCACTAACTGAAATAAGGTATGTGAGGAGCAGATTTAAAGATAAGATTATATATCGTCATCTGAATATGCCGTTTGTACTGCCTGCTTCAATCCAAATGGGGATCATCTGGGAGAACTTTGGAAGAATAAGTGGGAGCTCAGGAGCAAGATCTGGGACCAAGCTATATACTTTTAATAGTAATTGGCATATGTGTAGACATTCAAGCCATGGAAAAATGATGAAATAGTCTTTTGGGGATGTGTAGAACAAGAATAGAAGAAATTCTCAGGAATTCTAAACTATGCCAGCCTAACTGAATTTCCTTCCGTAAAAGAAGTGCTAGACTGGATGATCATGCAAATTTGGTGGTTGATGTATAGAAGCATTTGATTAAATGTTGCAGTTAGCAGTATATTTTCTGATATTTTAGTGGATGAAATGAGCCACACATTTTGACAATGTATAGGGTTAATACTTAGTTTCATTAGGTCATTAAATATGAAATGTTTGATTTTGAATCAAAAGTGTAGTTTATTATATCTCAAACAAGAGGCAGTACAATTAATCAAAGTAGGTGCCTAAACTATTGACAGAGTTTTGCCATCTTACTGGTAACTTGTATGTTCATTAGCCACATCTTTCCCAAACAATTCATTGATATTTCAAACTGTCTACACTGCATTGGTTCCACAACAGAACTCATATTCAGAAATAACACAAATTTTTGACTTATCCATAGTTTCACAAAAATTGCTGTAAGAGAAAATTTGAAAGATAATCATGAGCCAAACCATGCGTTTGAAAGACTGAGGATGAACCTTCACAATAAACAAAAAACAAGAAGTGTTGAAGTGAAATGTCAAAGATATCAACTATCAAACTTAATACTTAAGTAAGTCGGGCATTTCATACTTAATAACCTAAATATAAATGTAGAAGAGCATGTCTAATAATGTACCATCAATCTCTTCTCTTAGCTTCATTCCATCAAGAGATATGCAATTTTAATTAATGCTTTTGACATAAAACTGGAGGAAATATGTTGAATTAGAAAATATTTATACTAAAATGAAATGAAAGGATAAATCTTAAATCTTACCAGATTAATTTTTTAAAAAACTAATAGTTCTCACATGTTTTTTGAAAAAAAAGTGCCAAAAAAGTAGATAGAAAAGAAGGAAGAAAAAAATAAAGAATGAACGGAATTAACAAGTGTTAAACACCAAAATGGGGGACATCAATTTAAAAGTTTAAGTAATTTAATCAAGTGTAAATGATCCAAACTTTACAATTAAAAGTCAGAGAACTTCAGTCTGAATTAAAAAATTCAAGACTGAACTCTATGCTGTCTGTATAATAAGTTGAAAACAAAAGGATAGAAAAAGATGTGACATACACGTTAAAACAGTAGACTTTAGGATAAAATGATTATCAAAAATAAAGACATTCCATAGTGATAAAAAGGGAAGTTCACCAGAAAAATATAATAATCGTAAATGTTTACATTATCTAATAAGAATGCTTCAACATATATAAAGTAAAAACTACCCAAATCAAAGGAAGAAATCTACAAAGGAAAAATCTACAATTAAACTTAATGGTCTTAATTCCTCTTGTTCAGTAATTAGTAGAATAGCTGGACAAACAATTCAGTAAGTAGATATATTTGAACTGCACAATCAGCTTGGACTAATTGACATTTAAAGAATCTCTTCTTTAAAAAGCAAAAGCTTTAAGCTCTTGGGTGAAAGGCAGCAAACCTCCAAGAGAGGTTCTTCCACATTTATTATTCTTCCAGGCATATCAGAAATTGGTATTGGGGTATGTGTCGTCTTTGGGACCTATGCATCTTTTTGTAGCTCACTTCCTACTGAGGTTTATTTTAAGACTTGCCAAAAAATAACATAATTTTTAGATAAGGCTAGTGTTCTTTGACAATTTAATTTCCTTAAAACCTTATTAGGTTTCTGATTTATTTACTTCTAGTCAGTTTCATGGATGAGTAACCACACCAAACATTCTTTTTGAAGTAATTCTTAGGTAGTCTTTATTCCCTTGCTTTCTGGCTCTGTTATATGGCTTAACTTAACAGTAGCTTAGATACCTTGAGGAGATGAGGCCTGAATAGGGCATATTCCAAATCCGATCACTGTATTGAAATAAGAAATCTCATCTTGTCTTTGCCAATAAAACAGTATTTTAAATTCTATCTCCTGCTATTTAGGGACTAGAAGCTGTCAATTTTTCTAATCTTGCAAGTTTCAAATATCTGTCTTCTCTTTATCCTTGAATTTCTGCTTGTAAACTGCCTTTCTCTTCTCTTTCTTATGTGTTGCTTAACAGATCCAATAATAACGCATATTTAAAAGATCTTTTTCAACTTTTTTTGCCCAGCTCAGTAATCATTTGATTTGTCTCCCAACTTATTTCAGGCAAGAGATTTACCAAATATTTCGCATGTGAATGACACAGATCAAGAGCTATTTATCTTGTTTTATGTGTTGTAATCCTCCATTCAATCACTGGGCCAATGTAGCATATTAATAGCTTTTCTTCAATGGATTTCCAATTTTAGTATCAATTTATGTATTAATATCTATGTATTCTAGCCCAGTTGACAAGAGTGAGACCCTGTCTCAAAAAAAACTATGTATTAACACTGATTAGATAATATCAATTTATAATAATCAATTATAATATAGTTATAAGTAATAAATACTAATCAATTAATATATTAATATTATTATATGTATTCATTTAAGTAGTAATAAGGATGACTCATTGTGGCTACTAAAACAAACAGTATAGAATCTCTGCAAACTATAAACAAGTAAAGTTAGTGTGTGTGTGTTTGTGTGTGTGTATGTTTACCTGTGTTTGTACATGTGTTTTTACTCACCAGAATCCAACACTGGGCAGCAGGGGAAGGTAAGGGATTCTGCTTTACAGAGAAATTCTGGGACAAGCCTCCTATGCCATAGTTCCATCATATTCAATAGATGGCTTCAATATCACCCTCGTATGATTTAGCTAGCAGACGGGAGAGAAAGAGAATAAAGGTACACACAATCTTAACTATGTGCTCCTGCTATGTCATATTGTTAAGAACTAGTTACCATGGTACTTTATGTAATAGTACAGTCTGGGAAACAGAAAGCACAATAGTTATTTTAACAGAAAAACTGATACAAGAATTCGTTAAATGGACACTGAAAGACTGAACAGACATGAAGAAAAAACATGGTGGTGGACCAGAAAGAGAAACATGTAGCAGATAGCTCTGATTTGTACTATTATCTCTGAAAAGACAGATTTTGGAGAACTGAAAGAGCTAAAACGGGATCCAAATGCTACTTGAGCCTATTACTGTTGCCAGGTTGAAGCTATTTGCTATTTGTTGCTAATAAGAACCATACGCCAATCAAGAAGGAGCTCATCTCTTCTTCCTCCACCTAGTGCCCATACTTCACACACTAACAGGAAGACAGTTTACAGGGAGAAATCTGTGTGGATTCCCAGCTCTAGTAGCACAGAAATGACTCTAAAAGATGGGTGGATTTTGAGTTGAGTGACAATAGCTTAATAAGTGGTACAGTATTTTCTGATCTATTACTTGTACAGGTGTCCCCACATCTTGCCCTAGTTCTGATAACTGAGAACTAATTATAGCAATTAACATTATTACATGAAGCATGGAAATTTACAAATCAATGATCTCGCCAATGAAGTTCCTTGGCTGTAAATCCCTACTTGGTAACATGATTAGGACTGCAGTTACATTAGAAAGAGGCCCTTACCTTGATTTTGCCAGCCTATGTGTTACCCACTTCTAGCTGCAACTACCAGGAATGGATTTTATGTTGTGGAAACTGATTCTGTTGACTGATTTCCCCAGTGATGACTGTTGGCTTGAAAAACAAATACATGTGATTAATCATCATCATCTCATTCAAGGTAGCATCTTCTGCTGCTTGACTTGAATTCAGTTCATCTCGGAAGCTGGTTTTATCCAAATGTAATCATCCAGCTCCAATTTCTAGTTCATTCCTAAACAATGTAGTTGCTAAAGAAGTTCCATATCCAAGATAATTATATTTCCCAACTATTGACAAAGGATATAATTTCTGCTTAACAGCTGTCCCATTTACTTAATGCTATTAAACAAACTACTTCCAAAAAACAACACTTTTATTAATTCACATGATTTATGGCTCAGGAATTTGGGCAGGGCTCATATGAACAATTCTGCTCTATGTGGGTTACCGGGGTCAGTCACTCAATGCAGTTTAACTTGCAGTTGGGTTTGTCAGGAGGGTACAAGATGGCTTCAGCCACATGGCTGTTAACATCAAGGCTGATCTCAGCCCCCTCCTTATCAATGGATTTTTAAGGACTTTTTAATAGTGTCTTTGCAGCAGGTCAACAGGACATTTATACATTGGTTCATTTCTTCCCCCCCCCCAAAAAAAAGGACAGAAACTGTCAGTGCCTTTACATGCTAGACTCTGAATTGGCATAGAGTCACTTCTGCAATAATTAATGGAAAGGAAATATTCTGTATGTTGCCTACACCTTCCATGAGAGATAATTTTGTAGAAGAGGCTTCTTGCCTCATACCTAAGCATGCAGACAGAATTAATCAGATTCACAAGTGCTGATGAAAGGGCTAATGAGACTTTCCTGAGAAAGTCAGAATTATCAGAAGAAAAAAATAAAAGAAACTAGGCTAAAAGCATGAATTTCTGCTTTTCTGATACTTTCATTTTAAACCTCAAGAAAAATAAGAAATATTGGCCATGTGCTCAGAGAATTTCTCAAACAGTGCTAAAATTATATCTTAATTTCAAGATTGAGAACTTGAGCACAGCCATACGTGAAACTCCACATGGGTACAATGCAGGGAAGAGGCTCTGCAGTCCAGCCATATGTTTAAATTTTGTGCCTTTCCCTCAACCATGCAGAGAAACTGGGACTTTCAAACAATCATATACTCAGCATCTAGTTTGAGCTGTAAAATTTTTTTTAAAAAAATTTATTTTTAATTATTATGGGTACATAATAGTTGTATATCTTTATAGGGCACACGTGAGGTTTTGATACAGGCATACAATGTGAATTAATAAAATCAGAGTCATGGAGGTATCTATCACCTCAAGCATTTAACATTTCTTCGTGTTAGAAACATTCAAATTCCACTCTTTTAGTTCTTTTAAAGTATACCCTAACTTATTGTCACTTATAGTCACTTTGTGGTGCTAACAAATATCGTTCACTTTATCTAACTGTATTTAAAACAAATCTAGCATGTTCTCATCCATATGTGGGAGCTAAATATTAAGAACAATTGATCTCATGGAGACAGAGAGTAGAATGATGGTTGCTAGAGTCTGGGAAGGGTATGGAGGAGTTAGGGACAAAGTGGGCTGCAAAATCTTGTCTTGTACTTTGTATCAGAAGTGTATTCACCACCCACTCTTTCACTTGCAACATTTTTAATAAACCTTCCCAGTGTATCCCCTTCCTTCTTTTAAGAAGCTTATTATTATCATTATTATTACTTTGCTTTACTAAGAGGTGGGAAAGAAGTCTTCATTATGTAAAATGTGATATATAAATCTATGTGGAGTGCTTCTAAAAGTAGAATGTCTGCCAAATTCTCTAGCAGCTTTACCAGTGTATAATTAAGTACTCATTTAAACCATAGTTTATGTTTGTGTGAAGGGACGGTGTGGAACTCAGAAATAGAAGTTGTTGTGCCTTTTTCTGTATTTTTAAGTTATATGTTAGATTCTGTTTTTGACAGCCATGACTCTTAAAGTAACAAAACTGGATTTTCACTACTAGTAATGTAGTGGCCTGGAGGACCAGAGAAACTCTCTTGAGACAGGGTAAAATCCTAAATAGAATGTAAGATCCAGTGTGAAATAAGACAGTCTCCATAGGCTAGACATGCAGAGAAAGAGCAAATTTAAAACAGTACTGAGGACTGATGATGGTGTACTTCCTGGAGCATCTAATTTTCTCTGATGGCCTAGAGTTGATTTTTTAAGTCCATGCTTTTGAGGTAGAATAGAGTTAAAGTCCGGGACCAATGCAATGCAGGCAGGTTTGATACAAGACCCCAATATTAGGTCTGCATTTATGAAAGCCAACATTATCAGGGAACTGAAAGAAAAATAACACAGAGGAAAATGAACAAAACAGCTGGGTATCTTATCCGTGGCTTTGGGTGGAGGGTAAAGGAAAGAAATGTAGAAATAAAATTTTGTGTTTATGCTTGTATTAATATGTGCATGTGTATATGCATGCACACACAAACATATACACAACTACTCTGAGAGTTGCTAAACAAAAGCCTGATCTTATATAGGTTAAAGACAAATTTAAATACCTGTGTGATTAAAACCTTCTCAAAGACAACAAATTTAGTTTAAGGGCAGAAGAGAATAAAAATATTCTCTGGAGAAGCATAATTTAACCCCAAGATTTAAAGACCTTTCACAGATAGGGTTTAAATAAGGGTGATTTCCTGCTAGCAACAGTACAACAAAGGAGTACATTTAAAATGTCCAATATACAATAAAATAAACCACTCTGAAAAGAGATTATGGTAAAATGAAAAGTGAGATCAATAATAACATAAAGACAGCAGATCCTGAATTTATCAGAGAGAGTATTTCATTTAAACATATTATTAATAGTATGACTAAAGATTACATGATATGGATGAAGAAGGAAAAAGTAACTATCAAATTAAGAGACATATATGTAAAAGACCAGAATAAAGCTTCTAAAAATTATATGCTAATACATACACATAATTTTAATTTTAATTATATATGCATAATATACATATGTATGTAATCTGTATATAACTGGAAAATCAATGAACAATTTAAATAGGATATTAGATATAGTAAAAGAGAATAACAAAGTGATGACATACCTAATAATGCAGCAAACTGCTAACAAATTAAAAAAGTATTAAAAATATAAAGTTACACTGATGAGTAAAAATGTCTAAAAAGGGAATAGATAAATGCAGGACTTAAGGAGAAACTTCAAATGAGAAGAGGTAATGTTTGGAAAAGACAATTACTGAGGATTTTCCAAATTTATGAAAGAAATAATGAGATTAAGAATAATTAAAGAATCCTCTAAACTCAAAATTTGAAGATAAAATGAACTAAAATAAAATATTAAAGTAAACTTATATCAATATATTATAATTTAAGTGTAGAACAACAAAGTAATACAAAATATAAGTAAACAGAGAGTAAAATAGATTAAAAGAAAGCAGTAAATAAACTGATTTGAGTTTATTTCTCTAAAGCACCAAAATAAGACAGCGATCTAACATTATTATCAAAATAACCTAAAAATAATTGCAATACTGAAAACATGTCTACCCTCAGATTGGGGATTAAATCATGACATTTTAAAATACTAAACATGTTTGCTGTTTAAAGACTGTCATTGATAGACTATCTAAAAGTATACACCAGAGATAAAAGAAGCATTACAAAGAAAAAGAAATAGAAAATATGTGGATAAATATAAGCAAATGTTTATTAAACCACCAATTCCTTTTTTTTTCCTTTTTTTTTATTTTGGCATATTATGGGGGTACAGATTTTAAGGTTTCAATAAACGCCCATTTCCCCCCCTCCCCCCACAAGTCTGAGTCTTCCATCATGACCATCCCCAGATGTGCTCTCACTATTATATATGTATATACCCGCCCTCCTCCCCCTCCCCCCGTGCCCAATACCTATTACTGTAGTACCTATGTGACCACTTAGGTGCTGTTCAGTTAATACCAATTTGCTGGAGTAATTGGTGCTTGTTTTTCCATTCTTGGGAAACTTCACTTAATAGTATGGGTTCCAGCTCTACAAGAAAATATAAGAGTTGCTATGTCACCATTGTTTCTTAGAGCTGAATAGTACTCCATTGTATACATATACCACATTTTATTAATCATTCTTGGATTGATGGGCACGGGGTGTTTCCACAGCCTTGCCAATTATGAATGTGGCTGTATAAACATTTGAGTGCAGTGTTCTTTTTTGTAAGTGTCATTGGATCTTTTGGGTAGATGCCCAGCAAGGGATTGCTGGATCAAATGGTAGATTCACTTGTATCTCGTTTAAGGTATCCCATATTGCTTTCCACAGAGGTTGAACTAGTTTGCAGTCCCACCAGCAGTGTAGGAGTGTTCCTCTCTTTGCATCCACGCCAGCATTTATTGTTGGAGATTTTTGATAAAGGCCATTCTACTGGGTTAAGTGATATCTCATTGTGGTTTTGATTTGCATTTCCCTGATGATTAGAGATGTTGAGCATTTTTTCATATGTTTGTTGGCCATTCTTCTGTCTTCTTTAGAAAATTCTGTTCAAGTCCTTTGCCCACTTTTTAATGGGTTATTTGATTTTTCTTCCTGATTTTCGTGAGTTCTAAGTATATTCTAGTTATCAGTCCCTTATCGGATGCATAGGAAGCAAAAATTTTCTCCCATTCTGTAGGTTGTCTGTTTACTTTCATGACTATTTCTTTGGCTGTGCAGAAGCTTTGTAGTTTGAGCATGTCCCATTTATTTATTTTTGTTGCTGCTGTGATTGCCTTTGGGACTTCTTCATAAACTCTTTGCTAGGCCGATGTCTAGGAGAGTTGTTCCAACTTTTCTCTAGGTTCTAATAGTTTCATACCTTAGGTTTAAGTCTGTTATCCAGTGTGAGTTGATTTTGTGAGAGGTGAAAGGTGTGGGTCCTTTTTAGCCTTCTACAGGTGGCTATCCAGTTTTCCCAGCACCATTTATTGAAAAGGGATTCTTTTCCCCAGCGTATGTTTTTGTCTGTTTGTCAAAGATTAGATGGCTATATGAGGATGGTTTTATATCAGGATTCTCACATCTGTTCCACTGGTCCATATTCCTATTTTTGTGCCAATACCATATTGATTTAATTATACAGCTTGTAGTTGTTTGATATCTGGCATATTAATGCTCCCATTTTGTTTTTGTTGCCTAGAATTGCTTTTGATATTCGGGGTCTTCTTTGTTCATACGAAGAGTAAAATTATTTTTCTATATCTTGAAGAATGCTGATGGAATTTTAAAGTATTGCATTGAATCTGTAGATCAGTTTGGGTGTATAGACATTTTGATGTATTGAGTCTGCCGATCACGAGCATGTATGGATTTCCATCTGTTTACATCCTCTGCCATTTCTTCCTCAGTGTTTCATAGTTCTCCTGTAGAGGTCTTTTACGTCCTTGGTTAGTATATTCCTAGTACTTTAATTTTTTGTTGCTATTGTGAAGGGAATTGAGTCTTTGATTTGGTTCTCAGTTAGTAGTGTTGGCATATATGAATGCCTCTGATTCTGTGTATTGATTTTGTATCCTGAGACTTTACTAATTTCATTGATCAGTTCCAGGAGTTCTTGGTTGAATCTTGGTTTTCTAGATACAATATCATATCATCAGCAAACAGTGAAAGTTTGATCTCTTCTGCCCCTATTTGGATACCTTTGATTCCATTTTCCTGTCTGATTGCTGTAGCCAAGACTTCCAACACTATGTTGAACAGAAGTGGAGATAGTGGGAGCCTTGTCTGGTTCCATTCTAAGTGGGAATGATTTGAATCTTTCCCATTCAGTAGATGTTGGCTATGGGTCTGTCATATATGGCTTGTATCATTTTAGGTATGTCCCTTCTATGCCTATTTTCTTAAGTGTTCGTATCATGAAAGGTGTTGAATTTTGTCAAAAGCTTTTGCATCTATTGAAAGAATCATGTGGTCTTTGTTTTTGCTTCTGTTTATGTGGTGAATTGCATGTATAGTTTACATATGTTGAACCATCCCTGCATCCTGGGATGAGAGCCACTTGGTCGTGATGGATTATTTTTTGATAAGTGTCTGATTCGATTAGCTAAGATTTGTTGAAATTTGCTCTATATTCATTAGGGATATTGGTCTGTAGCTTTCTTTTTTGTTGCATCCTTTCCTGGTTTTGGTATCAGAGTAATATTGCTCATAAAGGTGTCGGGAGGTTTGTTCTTCTCGATGTTGTGGAATAGTTTCTGCAAGATAGGTACTAGTTCTTCTTTGTAAGTGTGGTAAAATTTGGTGTGAAGCCATCTGGACCGGACTTTTCTTCTAGGGAGTTTTAATTGCTGGTTCTATTTCAGCTGTTGAGATTGGTCTGTTCAGGGAATCTATTTCTTCCTGGTTGAGCCTAGGGAGGCTGTGTGTTTCTAGAAATTTGTCCATTTCCTCCACATTTTCCAGTTTGTGTGCTAAAGTTTTGTAGTATTCATAAATCGTATCTTGTATCTCTTTGGATCAGTTGTGATATTCCTTTTTTATTCCTGATGGAGCTTATTAGAGATTTCTCTTTTCTGCTTTTCGTAGCTTAGCCAATGGTGTGTCAATTTGTTTATTTTCAAAGAACCAACTTTTTGTTTATTAATCTCCTGAATAGCTTCCTGTTTTCAATTTCGTTTAGTTCTGATTGATCTTTTGATTTCACTTCTTCTGCTGGGGTTGGGTTGGTCTGTTCTTCTTTTCCAGTCTTTGTGTTGTTTCATTAGAATTCTATTTGTGATCTTTTTGTCTTTTTGTTATAGGCATGTAGAGATAAACTTTCCTCTCAGAACTGCTTTAGCTGTGTCCCAGAGGAGTTGATAACTTGTCTCTCATTGTCGTTTTTCTTCATAGAATTTTATTTCCATCTTGATTTCTTCATTTATGAGTAATCATTTAGTAGGAGGTTGTTTAATTTCCATGTTTTTGTTAGAAATGTGAGTTTCTGTTAGTTGATTTCTAGTGTTTATTCTACTGTGATCTGAGAAGGTACATCGTATGATTTCTATTTTTTAAATTTGAGATTTATTTGTGTCCTAGGATATGGTCAATCTTAGAAAATGTCCCGTGAGCTGATGAGAAGAACGTATATTCAGTGGATTTTGGGTAGAATGTCCTATAGAGTCAGTCAGACCAATTGTTCCAGGGTTTTGTTTAAGTTCATTATTTCTTTATTAATTTTCTGTTTGGAGGATCTGTCCACGCAGGAACATCTTGGAGATGTAGTGGTCCTTGTTGACCGGCTTGGACTTCTTCTTCCCCTTGCCCCTCAGGACCACAATGACTCTTGGGAACCTCAGTCCACATCTCCTTCACGTTCTCCAGCACCATGTTGCAGTGCCTATCAAAGGCCTTCACACGGCCCAGGAGTTTCTTGTTATTGCAGCAATTGATAAGCACTTGAGTGTTGTTCTTGACTGACTGTGTGAGCACAGATAGTGGACCAGTGTTAAATTCGTCCTCCTCCCTCTTTTGTAGCTCCTCTGGGGTCATTTCACTCTTGGGCTTGTTGAGGAGGCTCATGGTGGTGGCTGTGTTCTCAGGTCACTCCTTTCTCCGCGTTGCTTTTCTGCTCCACCAATTCCTTTTGATGTAAAAAAATAAGACAAATGTTAAATGCACACAATTTAATATATATAAGTAAAGAAGGTGTTCAATTAGTATTAACATGTTCTAAAATCTTCTTCAGAACTTTAGACTTACCCATGTATCTCTTAAATCTTGATCTGTCTTTACATTCTTTTTTTCCTGTCTCAGTTTTTGTTTGCACATTTCCATATTGAACTATTTTCTTCAGTTTTCCTAATCCTGCATTCTGCTATAATTAGTCTTGTTTTAAAATACACATTTCTTAATTTAGATATTGTATTTTTTGTTTTTGGAATCTTCATTTGATTCTTTAATGCAAGACTCAATTCTTTTGTTTAAATTCATCCTCTGTTTCCTTAAACATAAAAATCACATATTTTTTTTAAAATTCATAATCTACTACTTCTAATATGTGGATTATTTCTGGCCTGTATATATTGTCAGCTTTTCTTTTGCTCATGAGTTACGTTTTATTTCCTCTTTGCCCAATCTTTGGATTAGCTCATCTGGGATTTTGATACAGCGTCTCAAGGAACTCAGTTGCCTTAGTCTTGGGAAGAATGAAAACTTCAGGAGACAATGCTTTGCCAGCCCGAGTTTCCAGCTCAGATTCCTTGTGTCTTAATCTAAGTAGCTGTAAACTCTACGAATGTCCTGGAGGAAAACAGAAATTGTGTTTGATGTATGAGTCTTGAGACTCACAGGTCTTTGCTTCCTAAGATTCACAGACCAGAGGAGATTACACTCTGACTTTTAGGAGATTTTAGCTTAAATCCCCAATTTCATACGCAGCACTGAACCCAGCAAATGTCCCTAACCATAATTTGTGTTCCCTCAAATTTCTAATTTGTCAAGTTAACACTAATAACTATTTTTTGAGATATATATATATATATATATATATATATATAATTTCAAAATATTTCAGGGGTACACACGTTTTGGTTACATAATTTGCTTTCATACAGTTTTAGTCAAAGTTTAAGTGTGTCCTTCACCCAGATAGTGTCCATTGTACCCGTTAGGTGTGGATTTACCTCTCCCTTTCTCTCGCCTCCCACCTGATTGATTTCCTTTGAGTTTTGCATCCATATGTGCACATAAGTGCTGATTGCTTGCTAGTTCCTTTTGTAACAACTTGGATGGAACTGGAAACCATTCTTCTAAGTGAAGTATTGCAAGATTGGAAAAACAAACACCACATATACTCAATACTAAATTGGAACTAATCAAACACTAATGACTCCTAAATCATTTCTGTTTTTCTTTTACCCCTAGCAAAGGTTTTCTGCCTGAATAAAATGGATTCTTAACTTCAATCTAAAAACAGAAAATTACCCCAGGGAAATACTATTTTTTAAGTTGGAGATTTTGTCTTACTTCAGAGAGATTCTTTTTCCTCTGAAATTTTAATTTTTGATCTTTATTGCTTATATAGCCCTATGATGCCTTTACATGACTAAATTTATAATTTATTTAGATTTTTTTTCCTAGTTGTAACAATTTTGCCCTGCAACGAGTTTCTACATCCAATTTAGAATTCTTGCAATTCCCTGAAGAATAATGATGTTGAACGCATTTTTATATATGTAATGGCCATTTGGGTATCTTCTTTCATTTTGTCTTGCTGAGATTTCATTGGCTTTTATATTTTCTTATTGATTTATAGGCTTTTAAAACTATACTGAATATGATTCCTTTGATGTTTATATATGTTGAGAATACCTTCTCCTGATCTAAATCTTTACTTTTTACTCCCTTAATTGATAATCAGAAGTTTCTAATTATAATTTAGTTTCATTTGTAAACAGTTGTATTAATAGTGATACTTATTGAGTATAGTTTAATATAACTTTTCCTCATGATCATGAGTATATTCTTCAATGTTAACTCCTTGAAGTTTCATTGTTTTATTTTTCAAATTTAGATTAGAAAGTTCATAAGAAATGGTTTTTATATGGAGTGATAATCAAGATATGTTACATTTTTTTCTATGTAAATATTCAAATGATCTAACACAATTTGGCAAATGTTTGTCTTTTTCTACTGATCTACTTGCCAACACTATGATAAATCAAAAGTTCATATATGTGTGTGTCTATTACCAAATTCTATTCTGCCTCATTTGCCAGTTTTCCTATTCTTTAACCAAACATCACATTGTCTTAATCACTATAAATTTATTATGTCTTAATATTACAACTTAGTTCCTCTTCAAGATTTCTCTTTAGATGCCTCAATAGCTGTCTTAGTCTAGCTCATTTCTGATGGTATGTGTGAGTGTGTTGAGTTTACACACAGAAAAATGCATGCCAGCAAGTGTATAGCTCAATGAATGCTTACATACAAATACACCTATATAGCACCTACAGTAAGCTTGTCAATTTAAACAAAAATTATCTGCTGGCACTTTGACTGAGTTTCGTGGTAGATTGACTATTTTTTCATAATTATTTCTCTCTCTACATCTGCACTATGCAACGTGACTTTGCAGCTCAAGAAATATAGTTCATTTTCATTCCCCTTAAATCTGGGTTGGCTTTTTCACCTACATGGTCAATAAGATGTAGCAGAGCCAACACCATACCAGTCACCTAAGTAGTGCCGTGCCCATCCAAGCCTAGTTAGTCCTCAAGAGAACTTGCATGCTTTCACTCTGTCTCATAAACAATTTCTTATCATGAAAGCCTTACCAGACCAGTTGACTGGAGGGATATAAGAGCAGAGCCAAGGTGTCCCAGTCTTTAGTCATTCAACCTCCAGAAACAGCTGCCTGATGGTAGAAGCATGATGGAGGCTAGCTAAGATCAGCATTGTCGAGCTAGACCCAATGCTCATAACATAATGAGTTTTACAAGTAATTGTTATTTTACATCACTATATTTTGGAGGTATATTTTGGTAATATTAGGACAAAATATGACCAGTATAGTTTTGCATTATAAATCAACTTAAGGATAACTGTCATCTTCATAATATTTAATCCTCTGGATCATAAACAAAGATTACTTTTAATTTAAATTTTTTATTTCTCTCAATAAAATAGTGTGTGTGTTTGGAGGGGTCTTATTAGATTTATTACTAGATATTTAATTATTGTTATGCTATGTCAAATTGTGCCTTTTAAACTTATTTTATAAAAAAACTTATTTTATGATCATTATTTCAATATGATATAATTGGAAATTGTGTATTGACATTGTAGTCCATAAAATTGCCAATTTCAGTTACTCATTATAACAATATATCTAAGGATTTTTACTATGTCAAAGAAATCTTTGTAGTTAATAGCAATCTTCTTTCTTTGTTTCCAATCCACTTATCTTTTAATTACTCTTCTTGCTTCATTGTGCTGGCACCAATTTCTAGTTTACTGATGAACAGAACATTAAAAAATGTTTTTAAAAATTATTCATAGACACTCTATATCAGGTAAAGGAAGTACTCTTTCTTATTTCTGGTTTTCTGAGGTTTTTTTCTTTTTTATAAATTGCTAGTAAATTGTATCAAATGCTCATTTTTTTTAATCTATAAAATTATCATTATTTTGCATCTATGGTCATGAGAGAAATTGGTCTCTCTTTATCCACTTTTCTATATCCTCTTCAGGGTTTCAGTATCAGAGTTCTGGGGCACTCATAAACTAACCTGAGAAAATTTCATGTATATGTTTGGTAGAATTTACTTCTGAAGGCATCTAAGCATGGAATTGTCCATATAGGAATAACTTAGTTGTAGGAACAACTAAACAATTATATAATGAATCAGTGTTTTATTTCTTCTCATATCAATTCTTAGAATTTATCTAGTTTTTTGTAAGTTTCCAAGTGCATTGTCGTGTTTCATAATATATATCTATCTTTTTAATGCCAGAGTAATTTATATTTTTGCTTCAATTTTTCTTCTTCATATCAGTTACTTTTTAAAAAATCTTTCTTGAAAAAGATTTATGACTTTTAGTAGTCTTTTAAACCACAATCATTTGACTTTGGTGGTCTTTTCTAGTGTTCTATATTTTACTAGTATGTATTATATACTTATATATATATAACATATATATACATCTACATTAATTACTCTTATTTATTCATGTATTTATTTATTTATAGATGAGGTCTAGGTATGTTGCCTAGGCTGACCTTGAACCCCTGGGTTCAAGCAATCCTCCCTCCTCAGCCTGTCTGGCAGCTGGGATTATAGGCACACACCACTGTGTCCAGCCTCCTTCTATTTGTTTAATTTGTAATTCTATTTCTAACTTCTGTAGATGATTGATTTTTAAGCTTTCTTCTCTTATATGCATTTAAGGCTACATATGTCTTTCTAATCATGTTTTTAGCTATTCTACAAATTTTTCATATATATAAGTGCTTTTATGTCACTAAATTAACTGTCAAAATATTTTCTAATATTGTTAATCTTTTATTCATTATTTAAAACTGCATTGCTAAATTTTCCATTATTTCTGTGAGTTTATATTTTTATATCTGTTATCTATTTCTAGTTTAGTTCCATTTTCATGTGGGAACATCTCAGTATAATTTCAATTAGGCAAAGTTGGTTGAAATTTGCTTTATAATACAGTATATTAATAATTTTCATAAATATCTTATGTGCCTTTAAAAATATGTATTCTGCAGCTTTGAGGTACAGCAATTTATGTGCCAATTACATTTAATCATGTTGCACAAATCTGGCACATGACTCATTTTTTTTTTTTTTGCATTTATTTGATGAGTTATTGAGAAATGTGTGATAAAGTTGCCCACTATGTCTTCACTCACTGTGGTGGTGAAGGAGAAATGACAGAGTTACAATGAAACTTTTGGGGGTGATAGATGCATTCATCATTGTGATTGTAGTAATGGTCTCCTGGGTAAATACATACATTAAATTCTATTAAATGGTATACTTTAAATAGGTTAAATGTGTTATATGTAAACTATATCTCTATAAAAGTGTTAAAGTAAGCATTTATATTT